GGCAGGCAGGCAGGCAGGCAGGCAGGCAGACAGACAGATAAAACAATTTATCTCCCCCAATGGATTCCCACATGAACCATGGTTTACTGAATTAACCTAACTGCTAAGGTTCCTGCAAAACCCTGAACCATAAACTAACTACACGGGCCATGTAATCACAACATACAGGGCTAAAAATCTAGTTGGCTAATTTCAGCTGGTTGCGCATATATGCCAACATGCCACTTTCTTGCCAGACACTGTCCCTCTAGGATTGCCAACTCTCCACAACAAATAAACCATCTTGGCCTGCTCTTGTGCCCTGGCCTTCACCACCTCTCTGGTGGACATTTTCACAGCAGAGACCCAGGCCACGTACCCCAACTTGCCTGTGAGGGAACAGCATCAGAAGCAGAGTAAAGGACAGGTAATCCTATGGCTACTATGAAAATGTCCACGTTTACTTTGTTGCATATCCATATCATGAGTTTTGTATCTGTGCGAGGCAAAATACACACGTATTCTGGTGTACTTACAGGGAGTGTGACATTTTTATATGGAACTGGCATCTGCACATTAACTTCCAGCACGGCCCATCAGTTCTGCATTTGCTTCTCTGAAATTTGCTTCCTTCCCCCTCCCAGTCATTTCAAGGCTGCCCTGCTTTTTGAATGTGTGGGGCGAGAGAACCCTGAAGGTGGTGTTTCAACTTAAATCTGATTTAACTCTCTGTTCCCACCTCCCATGAGGCAAAATTAAATAGGAAAGAAAGAGAATGTTCTGTAGGATATCAACAAGTTCTTTAATAAGTAACACCTTGCCCAAAACTTTCTGGAAATGGAATTCACATACGCCAGCCAGGAAGAAAAATACTTGCTATTAAAAAATATATGATAAAATACAAAAATACGTGATAAAAAGGGGGAATCTGCAGCTTCATTGAGCACATTTTTGCAAACATTGCTCTTACTAAATGCATTGTAACTCTACATAAATGAGCCTTCCACCTTGGCTTAAGCTAGTACTTGCCAATGAGCAGGTCCTAGTGAGTTCTCAGCTCTGTCATAACATGCTGGAGGTCCCAGTTACTCCACTCTGAAATTGATTTCCCAAAAGTAAAAATCACCTAAACCCATGAGGGTTGCTTCTTCTTCTTCTTCTCTCCCAAACAAGCATGTCCAGAGTTTGTAAACATAGCAGCAGCCATGCTATGGGGCTTGATGGGGGGAAAGGAGAGGCAAAGACTTCAATGTAAGCAAAGATTCTAGATGCATTTGCTTGGAAGTTTGTCAACTAAGTTCTTTTTCAAAGAACTCAAGGAAATAGATTTGGAGGGGGTCTCTCCTAATTTATCCCCACAACAAGAACCCATGAGGCAGACTGGGTAGACTGTGGTCCATGTTTGAGGGTGGGCCTCTCTGGCCCTATCTGGACCCTTCCCCATGCTAAAGTGGCTTAGAGAAAAATCCCATTAGACAATCTTTCCCGTGGTTTCAGCTACATTGTGGATAAGGATCCCTATTTACAAAGGGTTTGTTTGCCTGTTATAAGAGCACACAGACAAAAATTTGAGTCTCCTTGTACATGGAATCTTCCTCTCTTCTCCAACTCTGTTCAAGGGAATTCTATTTCCTGCAAACTGAAGAATAAATATAGCTCCAAATCTCAAATTATGTCCTTGCATTGGTTGCCTTTAACATTCTGGTATAAGCAGAGGATTTGTCTAATAGTCAGGGGAAATACTTTTTTTTTTTTTTTTCAATTTCAAGGCCACTCAACTTCATAGCAACTCTGGGTGGCTTCCAATTAGAACATTAAAAAGAGAAGCTCATATATCAAAGGAAAAGAACACAGCTGATTGGGAGACAGAATCACAAACCAAAAGGGCTGAACCACTATCCTAGCCCAAGGCCCAGGAGAACAACCAGGTCTTTAACAATGGACAGAAAATCAGAAGGTTGGGAGCAGTACAAATCTCCAGAGAATATCATTCTAGAGGGCAGAAGCCATCTCTTTCCTAGGTCAACACTTCCTGGATTCTACAAGGTGATAGTGTGCCCACTGTAGTTGACCTCACCAGATGGGCAGAAACCTATGGAGACAGGCAGTTCCTCAAATACTAGATGGTATACTTTCCAATCAGGTGCCTTTCAGAAGGCTTGGTTTCTATCTTCCAGAACTCCCAGTTGGCAAGTGGCAGTAAGCGTGCTCACTGGCACCCAGAGAAGGGCAGGTGACATCATGTTCATCATTGTGCGAATGACACAAATGAGGTAAATTGTGTCATTAGTGCAAGGATGTCACGATGCATGTGACACAGCTGCAGCTTGTATCAGACACCTAGAGGTGTGTTATAACATTGACCAGCTTCACATATTGCAAGTCACAGCTTGATTAATGCTGATTTCTTGAACAAGACTGAGCACGCTTGTTCACAAGTGATGCTCAGCTCCAAACCATGGTTGACAGTCCAGAAGATCAGATAGACTCTCCAGAATCTTTGTTCCCAAAAACAAACTAAATTCCTGGTGGCATAAGTCCCAAGTGCGAAGTGGCTTTGGGAACAAAGATTCTGAGATACCTATTTGATCTCCTGTGTGATCTTTGTTTCAGTAAGTCTGATCTTCCTTTTTTACAGCTCTCTAACCTTAAAAAAATGAAAATGTTACTCCCATTACACTGATAACGTTTGCTTTCTGAATGTGTCCTGAAACACCATCCCATCTTCTTCCCCACCCACCCAACAGCTCCTCCAAAACAGAAAGAAACCATGAAGGACCCTACCTGTGCTGGAACGAGCTTTGGGTCTGGATTTGCATCCAAATCCAGTTGGTGATCCCCCTAGGAGACTGCTTGGGGGGAAAAGTCCAGAGCCGTATTCAGGAACGTAGGAAGGGTAAGTGGCAATTGGATGGTGACCAGAAGAAGATGCTCCTCCTAAGGAGGCCATGTTGCTCCGAGAGTGAGAGGATTCCAGCTTCATGGTTTCGGCCAAAGACACCTGATATTTAATGCACTCCTTCTCTTCTTGCCTGCTGGATCCAGTGGAGCCCGGGGTGGAGATGGAAGGATCTGGAGACACATCTTTAGGAGGGGTTGGCGGGAAAGTGAAAAGATGAGGACTGGAGTGGCCCGCAGACAGGGTGGAGGTAGAAGCTGGAGGGTAGACGGAAAGAGGTCCTGGTGAGCTGTGATGGATGGGGGCTTTGGAGAAAGGACTCAGGTTCCAAGGAGTGGCGCTGTGGTGGCTTCCCAAAGCTTTACTCCCATCCAGCCAAGGGAGAGAGCCATGCAGCAAAGGTGGGCGGCACACCTGACTACCTGCCGGAACAGAAGAAAACAAAGCAGACCTCTGTAAGTGGACTTCTCCTGAACCAGACTCAGGCAAAGATCTGGTGAAGAACCCAGCACTTAAAACATCCCAAAGAGGCAACACCACACATTTCATTTTGCATTTGCTGCAGCAAAGCAGGTAAAAGATCTATCAATATGGGGAAAGGAAATTCAAAAAGGCCTGCATTCAGGCTGGGTTGTACCCTTGTCTCTTCCCTTAGCCTGAGCGTCATCATTCTTTGGCCAGCATATTATTTTGGCACTGTCATCTCTTCATTTTGTCCCCTTTTCAACTGTTCTTACACAGCAGACAGCTTGGGAGCGTCAGTTGGCTCTCCCCAATTTTCTCTACGATAGCAGATACCAACCAAAAAAGGAAAGGTTTCCTTCTTGGCCTTCTCCAGAAACCTAGGGAGCTAAATCAAGAACCCTGAGAACCTTCAGACTTGGGCACTGTCTAAATTGCTGTCTGTAAGTGCATTCACCCTTCACCCCTAGCAATTGTATATTTCGTTCTCCCAAAGGAAAGCACAAGAGAATCTTCTATTCAGATCACATTTGACCAAGTCATCGTTTAGAGGGTTATATAACTCCCCACCAAACTTTTAAGTGCATGGGGGTGGACATTGTCAGAGAACTCTGATCCTTGCAGGGTATCTCCAGGGTGGGTGGGGAAGAGGAAGAAAAATTTTGCCTTTGGATACTGAACTGCAATTCCCAGCATTCCTCACCAGCTAGCTAAGATTGCTGGAAATTATAGCTTGACACTATCTGGAGAGTCATGTTCCTAATCATGTACTTTTTTGAATATCAAACAGAATTGTCACTCATCACTTACACACACACAGAGCAGGATTACAGGAAATATGCACTTTGGCTCACTAGCAAAATCTGCTAGTTTGCCTCCCCAGCGGTCGTCCTGAGCATATGATTTTCACACCTACAAACCCACCAGGAAGGGAGAAGAAAATAACTATTTCTGACCATAGCCTCGGGCAATTACTCACACCACCCTCTGTATGGCTATGCCAAAGTCATCCTGCTAAGTTCAGTGACCGCTATATCAGATTACAAACTTTATGGGGAAGGGTCTACCTGACTATGTAAGTGCACATCCCACAGGTGTCACAGTCATACAGTACAGGAGATACTCAGGTGCCTCACCATCTGGGACTAAGGCCAAATCAAGAAGTTCAGATATATCATTTGTGGGGTACCTTAAAAGCTTTCTTGCATTTCCCCATCTCCACAATTCCCATCATCCACTTTGACCCTCCTTCCTAAGGACGTGCCCTCCAGATCTCTGGAGCTAAAATCCCCATCTTGTCAACCTGTTCCTACCAGCAGAGGAAGATGGGAATCATAGTTCCATGTATCTGGAGAATTTAGGAAGAAGCCCCAGGATCTAAACAATTTCTCTCAAAGTATAGGTTTACACAGTTTTCCAAAGCAGACTAGCTTGATAAAATATGATAGCAAAAAACAAAAACAAGAGAAGCATCAAATTACTCAAAATATGCCATGTTCTAACTGGAATTTAGTAGCTCCAAATATTAGATTCTTTCCGGTGAGAAATGCTTTAGAAATTGAATTAAGCTGTTTGTATATACGAGTAGTAACCATATTGTTTTCTTTTTCCACAAAAAAGGGAGATTTCATGTCTGTCCCCTCTCCCTACTCAAAAGAAAACCCTCACTTCTCAGTCACCTTACTTGGAATGATTCTCTGTCAAGGCCAATGTACAAAAAGAGAGAGAGATGTGTTATATGATAAATATATTTAAGGGTTAAGGAGCTATTTGTGAAAGAAACTGAACTTCTGAAGATCATTTAACTAGAAGAGAAACTCATTTCGTTCTAGCAGACATATCATCCGTCAAACTATTCGAGGATAGGCTGTTAAATTCAAATAAATAGGTTGAAAGCTATTTCTTGGTAAAAGTATATAGCATCAGGTCCGTCCCAAGGATACACTTTTCTATACTTATTCCTTCAATTCATATATTGAAGGTATGTTTTACTGAAATAAATGGGCTAACTCCTACTTATTGACATAAGATTTGCAAAATCAGGGCTCCAAACTTCTTGTAAAGATACCCTAAATGTTGAGACATTGTACGGATGAAGAGTTGGGCATGAGCCACCCAGAGTTTGGTACAAGATGGGCGGCCATATAAATGTTTTAAATAAATGAGAAGTTGTGTTTAATATACTTCAAAAGTTAGACATGAGTAAGGACCTAACCCATTTACTTCTATGATTTGGATATCTGTTGAGAAGAACCATTTAATTTAATGGAATTAGCCACCTAGTCAATATGTGTTCCAGGTCCCACTAGTAACAGTTTTACTCAGAAATTCCCGCCACAATATTTAAGGCGATTTTTGCTTTGAATCATATCCTTAACCAGAGGTAGTCAGTTCCCCTGAAAATACTGTAAATTTCCATAACACCCCATGGGGAGGGGGGTCAATTTCTTCAAAGCAAATTCCAGAGTTTTCAAGAGAAGTCGAGGATGTTGTTGATTTTTTTTTGAAGTTGCTGCTTGAAGGTGGGCTAAATTACCAAGATCACCCACCTTGTAAACAGAGGCCTCTCGCCAGCCCTGCCAACTTCTCACCTGGGGGCTGTAACTATGCCCCTTAGTGGATTCTATGGGGGTGATCAAGCAACCATAACATCTCCCACCCTGCCAGAAAATAGCTTCACCTCCTGAGGACTGCCAACTCTTTTAAAGTGAGAAGAGCAGGCCCACCCACTTCTGTGATCAGCTGGCAACCCTATTAGGGTTAGAGAGCCAGGACTGATCAACCAAAACAACTTTCCAAGAAACTCTCTGACTTATGAGGAAAGCTGAAGGGGGGAAAAAGTGATACTCAGTTCATTAAGCTGGAATCCAGAGGTTCAGAGTAAACAAGTTAAAAGCACCATTCTCTGGTTGCTGTTTCCGTCTGAATTTTCATTCTGCTTGGCCTAATCCCTGCTA